CTTCAGGTACTGGAAGGCTGCTCTAAGGTCTCCCCGGATCCTTCACTTCTCCAGGCTGAACAACCCCAACTCTCTCAGCCTGTCTTCATGGGAGAGGTGCTCCAGCCCTCTGATCATCTTCATGGCCTCCTCTGGACTCTCTCCAACAGCTCCATGTCTTTCTTGTGCTCACAAGTACTTTCTTGTACTGAGGATATACTGTTCTTCTACAGCAATAGCGTTAAATAAATTTTCAAATATTTCAAGGCACTGGAAGGATTGATTTTTCTGCACTCAAGGTGCTCATGAAGTACTCAATTATACTAAAATCTTTTAAAAGAAATTAAACTTTAGCAGAATTATGTTTTAGCATTTCAGTCTATTCCATAACTTTTGGGAACTTGGGGAAATTTAAGGTCTGCATACTAATGTAAAACCTTTTGGAAATGAATTGATAAACCTCAGGCAATTACTGAATGAGGAAAAAGAAACAATGCAAACCTTACATATGTGGTGTTTCTTCTTGCCTAATTTGTAGATTATACTAAACTTAAAGTTGTTGCTATAATAGTGTCAAATGTATTTTGGTTGATTATAAACCATTGTATTTTCCTATGGTACCGAGCCAGTATTATTTCTTAAATATTAAAAAGGAAGCAAAAAAAATGTGTTTGCTTGCAGAAATGTCATTGCTATTCTATCATATGGCTGCTGAGTAATCACTTCATGTTACTATTAAGTATTTCCAAATGAATTCCTTTAAGTTTCAAATAAGTGGTAATACTCATATTTTACTTAAATCAGATAAACTTGTACTTGAAAATGGAGAAAAAGCCTAACAAGAAGGAGGAGCTGACACTAGTGAACAATGTTTTAAAACTTGCTACTAAGTTATTGAAGGTAAGAATTAAGTTAGTATTACCTTATTATATATAACTAAGAAGCAGAATAGATTGCTTAATGCTTTGGTTTAAATCTGCTCTATAACTGTCACAGCGATGCTACTTGTTCATACATGACAGTCTGTTATGTTGCTATCATTATGGATTGCAAATTATTATTACATGCAATAAGTTTTATTCATTAAGAGTATATGAGCAGCATGAGAGAAGGTACTTTGGGATGGACGGGAAATAAATGATGCAGTTTTGTCTGTTTGGAGTCTCTATATCTGTTTGTAGTACTAAGCTACTGGACGATTTGTATTCTTCCACAAAAGTAATTCCTCTTAAAAACTGTCAGTGGTTAGTGTTTCAAATTAAAACTGGATTATACTTGATGTCTTCTTTACTTACTGGCATAGAAGAATCCTTTTGGAAGACAGAGAGAAATTGTTACATAGTGAATAAGTTATGAGTTATAAGTGAATTAAAGATATGGATTTATTTAACGTAATTTGAAATATTTAAGTCAGCTGTACCCTTGAACTATTTGGCAGTTTCCTTTTGCATGGAATTTTGCTGATTAGTAGAAAAGTGTTTTGCTTATGCAATATTATCCTGTTTGCCAACTAACTATATTTGGTGGGTAGAAGATATTTCTTCATGTGAGAGAACATGAATTTTTTTATTACTTCCCATTTCTAGAATTCTGCAGAAGAGAAATCATCTTACTTTCACTCGTCTGGAGCTAGGGCATGGATATGCTTGGGGCTTTTTTAAACTTCTTGTTGTTGTTGTTATAAACAAAGCAGTGGCTGAGATTCTCAGGAAGACATGTTTGATCCTGAATTGCCTCTGCTGAGTTCTTCTGTTCTTTCAAACTCACAGATCTGTCATAACTTGGGAAGCAAGCTGTTTTGTTCTTTCACTTGTCTGGGAGCTTTAATTCTTGCTCCAGAAATGTCTCATTCTCCTTCAGACTAAACATTTCTCTAATCCAAAACTTACTCAAGGGTTACCTGAATGCCAAATAGGAGTGATAAATTCAACACTTGAACATTTTTTTTTTATTTTAGGTTTCGCTTTTATGAACACATAAAATAAATTCCATCTAATATTCCCTATGTGCTTTTACACTAAAATTAACAGTATATAACTTAGAATTGCATAAAGTGGACTTTCAAAGAGGAAGCCAGTCCTGAAGCTACAAAAACCCAAATTTGTGACTTACCTCTCTGCCTCTTGGCATGGTGTTTCAGTGCTTAATCACTTCTGCAGTTGTGTAAACTATTTTTAAATTAAATACGTGTAGCTTCAGTTTTCACTATTTGGATCTTGTTGTACCCTCTGCTGTTATGGTAAAGCTCTTAAAGAGATGCTGCTGATTTGTTATTCTTGGGTTCATAAGTAAGGTAACAACAGTATTTTGGTTTCTACTTCAAGGAATCAACTTCTTTATTTAGTCCAAGATAGAGTGGTCATGTAGAACAGTTCTCCAGGAATGGCTGGCAAATGTAAAAGTATTTCCTGCCCCCCACCCCCCTGATAAATTTCCTTCAATTCCACACACCCCTCCCACCATGCTTGAACCCAACTGATTCTGTGTGCACAGATCCCCAGCAGTAGAGGGAATGGCTGGATTATCATACAGTAAACCTGAACCATATCTTTTAATGCCTCTACACCTTTCCTCTGCAGTCAGGAAAATTCATGCCTATTAAGAGAAACAACTGGGGATTTGGGTTTCTTTGGGTTTTGGTTTTTGTTTTTTTTTGCATATAGCGGTGCTTTGAGACCTTGCTGCCTCATTCTACCACACCTTGAATTCTGGTCACTTACCCCTTTGATCCCTGTGTGCCAAGGAGCGCGGTTCTTAAAATGGAGCTCAAACTCTGTTTAATCCAGCTAGCTAGTAGCTAAGATGGTGGAGTATTTGTTCTAGTCAGCTGAGTAATTCTCCCCACCAGCACACCTTTAACGGCATATGCGGTCCCCACATCTCTAAAAAAGTACGCAGCACTTTCCATGATAGGACTGACAGAGTCAGCAAGGACTCAAAGCTGACAAAGCAACAGCTTGAGAGTTACGCTTCAGCGATACGGAGAGCCTGGCTAAGTCAGGTATTGACTGTATCTCTTGGTACGAGAATAAGGGACTGCAAAGCTTTCAGGACCTGGTTTTGGAACAGATGAAAGGAAGTATTCTCTGTGCATCAGGTAGCAGACTTGTGCAACTGTACAATAGATTCATGGTATCTCATGAGTTGAAATGTTTGTGTACTGTGAGCACGTAGGTAGGGTGAGAAGTAGCTGCTGTTGGTGGCAGGATACTGATCAACACTTGATCTGATTCACTTCAGTCTTTGTCATGCTTTTCTCAGTTTAAAAAAAAAAAAAAAAGTTCATGTTTTGCTCTTTCCAGAAATGCCTTCCCAACAGGGGACTTGGCTTTTGCAGCACAAATCCCAGACCCAGGCCATCACTTAGCTACTGTGAGAATGTGCCCAAAGTGAGATGGGATTTCCAGGCTGCCTAGGATGAGCTTTAAATGAATTCTTGGTAGTTAGTGATCAACACAATTATATATTTCATGTCCAGTAGCTAAATAGAGTTGGCTTTTTGTGGGGGTTTTTTTGTGGGTTTTTTATTATTTGATTTTGGATATTTTTGATCCTTAAGCTTTTATTGAAGACTAAATTACGTTGAATATTCTTACTATTTTGTTACTCCTAAAATTGGTAATCTGAACCCAAAATCAAAAAACTTTTTCCTTAAAGAATTTCTGTGTGGTTCTTCCAGAATCATGTCTTTTATATCTTTTGTATTTGCAGCAGATTTTTTACCACATTACATCTAAGCGAAAAAGTTACTCATTCTTATTTCAGTTCTTTTGAAAGAAGAATCAGAGCTTTGAAATTCTTCTTTATTAAAAAGGGGGTTTATAAGGCCTTGTTCAAGGCCCAGGATGTAATGTGGGAGAGGGATGAAGATGGATTTAAAGCTAGAAAATATAATTGACCAAAGCAGTGATAGTTGTTATAATATAACTAATTATATAATCCATCCTTGTATTTTAAATTTTTTTTTTTCTTCCTTTATTTAACGTATTTCTAGGCCAGAAAAGTTTGGACTTTACACACCAAGAAGTGAAAACTGGTGAAATAGCCTCTTCAAGTTTTGTTGCAGACTAATTTTGGCTAGTTTTTTGATCTTTCCAATAAAAAAAAAGTAGTACAATATTGGCAGTTAAATGGTTATTAGTATTTTTTTTTTCCTTTATCTTCCTTTTCTGGCTATGATCATCAGTAATGGTTCCCAATATTAATGGAAAAGGAAGGGAATTGCATTAGAAAAGACATTTTTGTTAGTTTTTCATAGTAGCGAGGTAGCCTTCTGTCACTGTGGAAAATCTTTCATTTTTTGTGGTTCCACTGTCAGCTCTTTTACTACTGAAGGTGATTTCTGGAAAATCAGAAGGAATTCTAAAATGATGGCACCTTGGTGCCAGGAAAACTGGCTTTCTATTTTCCTGACTCCATGAGCCAACTGGTAGATGCTCTAGATGGGTAGCCTCCAATTTTTTGAAGGGTTATTTAGACACCATCAGTCAACAGTCAGTTAACGTGATGGGTATTTTCTTGTGTTGTTTTTTATATGCGGACGAATAGGAAAATGTTTTACTCCGTTGTGACTTGAAGACTTCCTAAACTATCTAATATCACTCAATTCATATGTGAACAAAACCTCCTTTGTGTAATTTATGCTTTTTAATGATGTCATTGTTTTGCATTACTAGGAACTGGACAGTCCCTTTAGATTATATGGGCTTACAATGAATCCACTACTTTATAATATCACCCAAGTTGTGATCCTGTCAGCAGTTTCTGGTGTCATCAGTGACTTGCTGGGGTTTAATCTAAAGGTAACTACTTGATAAGCATCCTTTTTTTTTTTTTTTTTCACCATGCCGTTCAGAATGTTACGATAGATGGATCAGACATTGTAGCCTAATGAATTCTTAACTGCATTCACTAGAAGATTTATTGTTTGAAAATGGTTATGAAATTTAAGCTATATCAGAAGAATAGTGATGTATTTTTCAAAGGAGCCCCTTTAATATTTTCTGTATTTTTATGGTTCTCTAACTTCATTTAGGACACATAATAACTAAGAATTCACAGACATAAATACAGAGACATGCGTACACATGACTACAGGACCTTATTTAACTGTTCTTTGTACCCCAGATCTGATTTCTCTCATGAATTCCTCACTGTTGACTTTGTGACTCTTTAAGGGATGCAGAAAGATGCAAGTGATCCTTGTCTTACACTGCAGTAAATTATTACATTAGATACAGTATTACCATGACCACTCTTACACAGTATCATTTCATCATGGCTGAAAGACTGTCTTGTTAGGTCCTACTCAAACTCAGGAAACCATTTCAAGATTGAAGTTATGAGGCACCTTAGTTTCCACAAGCTTGTAGCACAAAGCCATTAACTGGCCATTGAGTTTGCTTACATCTATCTATTTTCTTCCTATTAGAAGTAAAGGAATGTAAAATTGATTTTGTGTATCATAGAATATGCAGCAAATGCAATAAGAAAAAAATGTGATGGTATTGCAATTTTGGAAAATGGAAAACTGAGATGGGAAATAACGTTGATTTACTGCTCTAACTTTTCCAGCTCTGGAAGATCAAATCTTGACAATATATAAAGAAGATGAGATAACACAGTGTTACAGAAAAGCTCATTGATTGACAAAACTGCCTCAAAGCAGCCACTGAATCTGTATTTCAGATGCTACAACCTCTTCAAGGATGTTGTTTGGAAAATTGAAGTGTTTACATCTGACTGTCTTGTGCAATCTTTGTATTTATTTCATCTTCTCACTGTTTTATGTTCATTTTAGTTGACATTTATATTTTATTTTCAAACTTATTTGTTTAGTTTTGGAAAGGGTCAGATTTGGGAAGGGTCAAAAGCTGTGTGTCTGAGAACTTGAAATCCTGGAAATTGATTACACTAAATTACTATATCTGTTGTTAAAGCTGAACTTTTTTAGTTACAGTAACGCTATACGGAAGTCATTTGATTTTTGATAGCGTGGTAAAATTGCTGAGAATATTTCATTTGCACCAATCATTCAGGAGGACAATATAACATCAGTAGATGTTTGGTTGCAATAGAAAAATGAGACACCTACAAAAAATAAAGTACTGACAATACAGTATGACAGGTAGCAGAAATATTTTATATTCGTGTTAGAAGCAAGTGGGAATTTTTAATATTTTGAGCAATTCCAGGATCTAAACTCATGTAGGCTGCAGTTTAAATATCCTGGGATATTAATAAGGTATTATATAACAAGTCAACAAGTGCTCTTTGATAACACTTTTATTAGAGCAATAATTGTAAATGGTTACCATGCTGTATGATATTTTGATAAAATTAAATAGTGTATTTATTTGAAATACTGGGCTGTTCTGCGCGGCTCTGACTGTGCATGCTCAATATGTGCACTTTTTATTGTTACTTTTAATGAGAAACTTTATATATATACATATAAATGTATATCAATTGGAATATATTATGGTGAACTACGGAGCAGTATATATTATATGTTGAAATTGAATATTTAAGCAAGCGAAAGATTTACTGGTGAAAGAAGTGCTATGAATGAGCATAAGATAGATGCTCTCCTCTTGTACACTATAGTATATGCCATTCGTACCACATTGAAGTTTAAGAGCAGTTAAACACAGAAAACAAGTTTGTCCGGTGAGCAGCAGAGCTCCTGAAGCCTGATGTTCTGCGCATTTCTGTCTTCAGAGAAGCTCCTTTCCTCCTGTTCCTCCCCAGCAGAGGTCATTCCCTAGCGCTTTCCCAGCGTTGGCTTTCCCAGCGTTGGCTTTCCCAGCCTTGGCTTTCCCAGCCTTGGCTTTCCCAGCCTTGGCTTTCCCAGCCTTGGCTTTCCCAGCCTTGGCTTTCCCAGCTTTGGCTTTCCCAGCCTTGGCTTTCCCAGCCTTGGCTTTCCCAGCCTTGGCTTCCCACCTCTCCCTCTGCTGTGTATCCCCGCTCCCATGTGGACCAGTCACATTGGACCCTGGTTCTTCAGTGTGGTGGAAACAGATGTCCACCTCTGTAGAATTAAGTTACTTGGAACAACATTTCCATCTACAAATTATATTGGGAGGATTAATATCACCGAGTGCAAGTATTCGTACATTTTGTGTTTCTAAAGTAGTGGCTTCATATTGAAAAATGACAAGTAATTAGGTGACGAGAGTCTGGACATTGCACTATGTTTGCTAAACTTCAGAATCTTGAAAGATTTGAAGTAATGTATCTTAAACTTATGTGGTATAGAAATATTTTTATATATAAAGCAACACAAACAAGCATTTTGTATTTTATTTGCCTCTGTACTAATGTTTAATAATGACCAAAGTGCATTCTGGTTTTTGAAAGAATGTATTACTGGAGCTTTAAGAACATACTATATTTAGTTTCTCATGTGAAAACTTCAGCTGCATATGATCTGTTTCTTCTTTCTCTGTTGTTTGATGTTGGGATTGTTTTTAAAAATTAAGTACATTTTATACACAGTTTTTTCCAAATTATGGTACAGACCTACACAGAACTTAATTTTGCACAAAATATATTTTAAGAAAAAAAAGTACAGCAGGAGTTCTATGGGTGATAAAAGATAAGGCTATTGCTTTTTACAGCCTGTCACTATTACAAAACCATTCTTTACTCTAGAATGGAAATATTTTTAGAAATGTAAAATGGTGACTATACAACTTTCATTACCTTTAAAAAAAAACAAGCGGAGGGAGAGAAAACAATACGGTTTCGGTTGAAGGTGAAATTAGTTGAACCATGTATACCTCAGCAACTAGCACTGAGCTGGGTTGTTGCACTAACAAATGGTGGCTTGGAGAGAGTAAAAGATTTGTGAAATGAAATTAAAATTAATAAAAACCTTTGTTTGCTACCATTAAGTATATTCATTATGTTAAAAGTGGGAGAGGTTTACTCTCCATCACTCAATATGGAAAATCCAGTATGAGAATAGAGGCAAGTAGAAATATGGCAGATCTTGCATGTTAACTGTTATTTTTTGCCACATGTTTTGTAACTGCAAGTGTGATCAGGCTTGGAATAAAGCTTTCTATGGTTGATGGTAAAAAAGAAAAAAAAATTGCGGTGAGCTATATCTTTTAGTAATATCCAGCATATTTCTGAGTCTGCCTGTTTTGATTTAAGTCCATATATTCTACTTAAAGCATATTTGGGAAAGAAGTCCTGCACATGGAATGCAAATGATGGTTGTCAAAATTTGACTTTATTGCAAGAACACAAACTTTCAGACAGTTCTGCAAAGTAGTTAAATTTTATTAAGACTACTGTACTTGCAACTTCCAAATAACTGTTTCTATTAGAAAAATATTGAAACAGAATTCAGTCCCATTTCACGAGGATTTGAAGGGATTCATTTCAACCACCATTTTGACCGTTCCGTTATGTCACAAGATATACTTCCATGTAAAAATCAAAATACAAGCAAACTAAAGTACTTGTTGAAATCAAAGTTGTATGTTTCAATAACATGTTGTGGAATATTTGGACAGAATTAATGTGTAATAACATGTATTTTATCTATTTGTTTACTGACTAGTGAGATACTTTTTTAACAGAAAACTGCTCTATTAATACCTCTCAAACACTCATTTTTATTAGCTGAATTTTGCCTTTTCCACAGCTTAGTCTTTGGACTTCAGACATGTTCTGCTGGTGGTATCCCCATGACCACGGATGACTGGGCAGTAGGCTATGCTCCACACTTGTATTCATTTGCTCACTTTCTAAACTTACTCCAAAGGTGGGCTCTTTACAATTTAAAATGTCTTTTGATGGTCAAGAAAGACACTACACGCATTGAGAAATTAACGTCTTCTGAGAGCCATTCTTTTTAACATCCGTCTTTAGGTGGGACCTTAGTGTGCCAGAATTCTCAGATATTGCCAGGAAATGTTATGCATAGTGCAAGTTTCCTTAGTCCAGACCTCACCTGTGTCCACGTACCTTCCAAAATAGTTATGGAGCTGAAGATGACCATTGCCTTGTTGCTTACTGGCTTCAGATCGTGTCCCATTTTTATCAATCCTGACCTTCTTAAAACCGTCCCATCCGATAGAAAATCCAACATGGAATCTAAGCAGCTGTTGGTGTTGAGGCGCAGATTCAGCATATGCTGAACATGTCCTCTGTCTTACACCGGTTCTTATGACTGGGAAATCCTGGTACCTCCTAAAGAGAGAGTTGTATTTCTACAGCTCATAGCATGGAGCTAAACTTACATGTATCTCTTGAGTGCCACATTTGGAATCTGAAGGGGTGCAAGACCTTTCAGGAAACCACAGAAGTGAGTTTTAAGAGGTTTTATCTCTGTTCTGCTTGCTTCATATATGATTGCCAACCTATTTGTAAACCTGTCTCTGGTAGGCTCCAGTGAGCCATCTAGTGTGTAGATGACATGTAAGAAGAAAAAAATAGTTTTACAGCCCTTTTCTTGCAAAGCTACAATGTTACCTCAGCCTGGCACATGCTAGAATAGAACAGCATAAGTTGAAACAAAGTACAGCTGAAATGCAGAAAGATACTTTAATAGTTTGACTAGCCCTTCATGTTATCTTCCATGGATGGGACCTTTAAAACCCTTTGGTAGATACCATATTTAGTAACTTCCAAAAGCTTCTCTGGATTGCAAGCATGTTTCACTCCAGGTAATGCTTAAGAATATTACTGGTTCAAATTTCAAAGATCCATCTGTGGCATCCAGCAGTATACAGTAGAGAGACTTGGTTTCTACAGATGGTGATAGTGGGTGGTTGCTGCTGCCTTTACTGGATACTTCAAACCCAAATGTGTCTGTTGGAGGAAAAAGGCTGCTGGTATACCCACTGCTGTCTCCTTAGGTAGAGTTTAGTTACCAGTTTCTCAGTAATGAATTTGCTGCAACATAAGAGAGAGCTTTGGAGGAGAAGGATTTCTTTTTGGAGATGCATGATTTCTTTTTTCTTAGTCCATAGAGCAATCTCGGGTTTATTGCATGACTGCACAAAATGTATCTGTATTGGTACAGGAGATGGGGAAGCAAACCTTTTAGTCATAAATAGCAACCAACAAACTGTATGGGGAAAGTAGTCATCTTTCTTCCAATGTCATTACTTGCAAGGTAGCGGAGGAAATAATCTTGAGAAGGTGCTCATGTTTGGTTTGTTTGGTTTTTTTTTAAACAAAACTACAATAGTCTTTACTTGTACTGTGGCTTTCCTCTCAAATGCTGCCTTTTTACCTTGTCAGTCTTGGGGAAAATAATCGGTCCTTTCTGGACTGTTTGCTGACACTTTCTTTTCCTGAAAATCACCATCATCTTGTCATCTGTGATGGATGGAGCCAGGAGATGGCCCTTGAAGTTCCTGTAGGAGCTGTGTTCAGCCAGGGGGCGATTTAGGCAATTCTGCTGGGCCTGGGGGAGCGTCTAGCCCGGGAGTCGGAGAGTGCTGCAAGACATCTGGAAGATATCTGTACTGCCAATGTTCATGACTTGACTGATAGAGGTGTTTGTGGTAATACCTGTCACCTCCGTTCGTTTTCTCTGCTCATTTTGCCCATTGCCTTGCTAATTGAGCAGATAGACCCCACTGGTGGCAGCAACCAAACAGTTCTGGAAGGGAGAAACGTCTAAGGCTGCCGTGGGCAGTTTGATAAGGATAACTCGGGAAAGGAAGGGAGTGTGATTCCTCTGATATCTGGAC